GGCCCAGGAGCCAGAGCACCATGGCATTTACCACCAGTCCAAATGGGACAATGATGATTATCAGAAAATTCAGGTTAAAGGACACATTGAAGCAAGATCCAACAAGGACCTCGTCAGTTGCATTCATTCCTGTGATTTCGGTTACCCAAGCTGGGGTAGTTGAGTTCATACTCAGAAGCCCTCCACTGGTGCCCCTGGGAACACAAATAAATATTGAGCTGTTGACAGAGGATCCCTGAATTCAGAACCTCCCTTTCACATAGGAATAATTGTTCAAATGGTACAGGGAAGGTCAACAGAGGCTTCAGGAGATTATCAAAGGCAGGGAGTCACAGACCCTGGATTCTAACTGCCTATAAAGCCTGGGCTCTCACTCCTACAACACAGGTGTCTCTAATGACTTGGAAATGTTCTGTGGTCCAGACTTCACCTTCACTATCCTAGGCCATATTATGGCAGGGCATCTGAAAAACAACAAGACACTGGGGCTAGGAATCCTTCTGTCCTGGGACAGAGGTTTCCTCTCAGGGGCAAGAAGTTGGAAGCCCAAAGCATGACCGATGGCCACACTCAGTGACTGAGAAGAATCAGACTACCAGGGAGAAAGGAGATCATGGCTAGGGATGTGTGACCTCGTGTTAGGATCTCACTGAGGATAATAAACCGCCCAGGCAGGGCATGGCTCAGTGTCTGCTTTATGAGAACAGAAGGGCTTTGACTTGTCCTTTGCTATGTCCCCAGTGCCTAGCATTGTGTGTGGCTCACAGTGAGTCATCGAGAAATTTTTAATGAAAAAAATGAATGAATGGGGAACCTAACAGTAGTTGAAAATCATTTGGGTTAAATGTCATAGAAAAAATTTTAAGTGAAATGAGTCACACATTTTTATAGAATTCTTGAGTATAAATCACTTATGAAAAGTTTTGGGTACAAAGACATGTTCTGAAGATGTCAGGTGGGAAGTAGGGAACAACTCACAAGTAGGTGAACAGTAGCAGCTGATGATTCGTTGTTATGTCTTTTAATCCTTTACATAACCTATGAGGTAAGTATTATTACTGTTGTTTTCTTACATGTGAGCAAACAAAGGCACAAAGAGGTTGAGTGACTGGCTCCAGTCTCAGTCCAAAAAGTGGCAGAGACTAGATTTGAACCCATAGGCCTCTATCAGAGTCCTCACTGTTCACCAGCCTCAGCTCCACTGCCAGGGTGCTATATTGGCTACAAATGGAGAGAATGGAGGATGAAGCTTTTATGCTCAAGGCTTCATAAATGGCAATTTATGTGTGTGTTTTATTAAACCAGGATAAGCAAATGTTGTTAAACAACAAGCAGAGAAATTTCTGAAATATGAAACATAAAAAGTTCAGGTAGAGGACAACAAACAACAAATCCTGGAGCACAGGAGCCCCTCATGCCTCTGAATAGGACTCTGTGAGTCCTGACTGTCCAGGACCCAACCAGGACAGGAGGCTCCAACAAGAACCTCTGGGAATGATGACGGAATGCACCATCACGCGCTCTGTCAGTCTTGTAGCCCCGGTGAGCCTAATGAGGATGCAGTGGAAGACCAAAACTTTGGTTATACTCTCTCAAGGCACCTTGACTTTTTTGTTTTTGGCATTAAACACAGTTTGCATTCTATTTTTTTCTTTTTTAAAACAAAAATGACAGATGTTTTTTTTTTTTTTACCAGCACAGAGTACTTTCCATTCTTTTTTATTTTTATTTTTTTCTGTCAAATATTTCTTCCCTTTGCCCCTCCCACCTACTCTCTACCGTACAGTCACCTCTCATACAGTCTTGGTATCTACCCTCATCCTCTCTAGTATCATATCTTTGGATCTTTCCATTTCTGCCATGGAGTGCAGACATTCAGGGCATATTGAGTGGGCAACTCTGTTTTTAGGTATTTGTCTTTTTACCCTTTGTCTCCCTTATTAAACTCAAAGCTCTGTAATGCCTAAAACTGCCTGGTTTGTGTCACTGTTTTTATCTCCAGCCCCTGCACTTGTTCTTTATAGACTATTTGTTGTAATAGCCTTAGTTTTGACATGAAAATTTAATGAATACAGATGATATCTAAAATTACTTAGTGAAGAGCAGGTCCAATATCAGTCCTGGCCCTCTTTAAGGCTTTCCCAGTGTTCTGTCTCATCATTCCTTATGAGAAGGATCTCCATGTGAGCACAGATTCTGAGCAAGAATCAGGGATGAGAAACTTAATTGTTCTGAATAGCAATTGTTCTCCTTTCTCAGGCAAAACTGTGGAAGTTTTAAACCAGAAACACACACACACACACACACACAATTTTTCCCAATTTCCCTTGATGCTGATGGTACCATGTGACTAGTGCTGGCCAGTGGGAGGTGAGGAAAAATGATGTAATCAACTCATGGGTCATGCAAGTAATAGAAACTGTAGGGACTCCTTTCTCTCCTCTTCTTCCCTAGGCTAGAAAGATGATGTGACCAGCTCCCTTAACTGCCATGCCACCTGCTGACCCCTATAGTGTCAAAATCTTATTTCCACCCCTTTCTATGCTTCTGCAAGTCCATAGAGGGACATCTTTATGCCTCAACTATGTGACCCCTTTTATTTTTCTGGCTCCTGGTTTAATTCAACAGAACACAATGACGAGATTGAAAAGTAGGAGGAGAGCTGTATGGGGGTTCTAATTCCTGGCTCTCTCTCTGGTAGTCTGGTAGGCTGTGAGTTGTCAGTAGCAATGTTGCTTTACCTGAAGACATAGTTCCTACCTGGTGGCCTTTTCCTAAAGTCTCAGCTACAACTACAGCTAGATAGAGCCTGCTCTGAGTTTTGGTACTTAATTTATCCCTTGTCTTTTCAAACCTACCGATGTTAAAGATCCCAAATATTCTTCCCCTTAGCGTGAGTGTTGAGGGTGGTGGCAATGAGTTGCTGTCCCATGTAACTGTTCATAAACATGCCCACATTGGTCGATTGTCCCTTAATTAAACTCTTCTCAATCATCCCATTTTAGACTATTTTTTTTTTCTGGAACCCTGAAAGAAACACAAAGGAAACACAAAGTAAAAGAAAGTTTGTAAAGCAAATAAAACAAGTGACTGGATAATTAATAGCACTTTAGTTTTGAAAAGCATGCATGGACCTTATCTTGCTTCCTAAATTAAGGAAACCAGCAGATTACTAACCATGCTAGCATATGAATTGCTAGAATAAAGATGATGATCCAAGAAGAAGGAAGGGTCTTCATTTATAACATTCATATCTCCCACAGCCAAGTCTGACAGAACCCACAAATACCAAGAGAGAGCTACATGTCTCCTGTCTTTCCTGATGGAGCCCCTGTGGATCCCTGAACACTCCACTCCAAGGCAGAGTTATGTAGATGTGGACTGAAAGGACAAAGTAAGTTACTGATAAACACTTACCTTTCTTCCATTCTTCCTGATGGAGATGGCAACTGACCTGTACTGAATGGGAGAGCCTCCTGAAACTGACAGTCACTAGGGAACACTTCTCTGCCTTGGAGAAGTGCCTGTAGGAGTTGAGGGGAAGTCGATGGCCTGAGTGAGATTTATCAAGATGCTACACAGCCTTGTGATTTCCTGTACTGGTATCTGCTAGCCAACGAGAGTATAAAATCATTTAAAACATGCCCCTCACGAGATATTTTACAGCATTTGTTCTGACTCTATCTCTCAACCTCTGCTTATCTCCCTCTCATCCAGTCCACTTTCATGAAAGTGATGGTTGTTTTGGAACTTTTTGTTGCTGGTTGAGTAGGAATGCCAATGTGAGCCAATGCTGCTAGGCTGTATAAGTAAGAATAAAGCACACTTTTTTTGTTATTCAAAGCTCTCCATGGACTGACCCACCCTTTTATTTGATCAGATCAAGAATGCATGCTTGTACAATTTTTTAAAATCCAAATTGACACAGAAGTGTATCAAGTCAATGGTGAAAGTCTTTCTGCATCTTATTTTCCAAAAGCAACACTTTGTTTCAGTTTTCCTTAACATTTTTAAGGCAGCTATGACTATAAAATAGGTTTGAATAGTAAACCTATATTTCTTTTTTTTAAGTTCTATTTATTTATTTAATTCCATTTGTCATTATTATTTTTTAATTTGACTGGAGAGAGACAGAGAGAGAGAGAGGGAGAGAAAGGGAAAGATAGAAAGCAAGCCCCCAGGTCCAAGATTTGAAGAGCAGTCAGCCTTGTGAGAATCCAGTGCCTTTAACCACCACTCCACCTGCTGGCCCCAGTAAATGTATATTTCTATTTATTTTAATTAGTCAGAGGATGTGTGTGCTTGCCAGAGAGAGATACAATGGGGGGAGGAAGGGTAAGTGAGAAAGCCTTTTTTAAAACAAAAATGACAGATGTTTTTTTTTTTTTTACCAGCACAGAGTACTTTACATTCTTTTTTATTTTTATTTTTTTCTGTCAAATATTTCTTCCCTTTGCCCCTCCCACCTACTCTCTACCGTACAGTCACCTCTCATACAGTCTTGGTATCTACCCTCATCCTCTCTAGTATCATATCTTTGGATCTTTCCATTTCTGCCATGGAGTGCAGACATTCAGGGCATATTGAGTGGGCAACTCTGTTTTTAGGTATTTGTCTTTTTACCCTTTGTCTCCCTTATTAAACTCAAAGCTCTGTAATGCCTAAAACTGCCTGGTTTGTGTCACTGTTTTTATCTCCAGCCCCTGCACTTGTTCTTTATAGACTATTTGTTGTAATAGCCTTAGTTTTGACATGAAAATTTAATGAATACAGATGATATCTAAAATTACTTAGTGAAGAGCAGGTCCAATATCAGTCCTGGCCCTCTTTAAGGCTTTCCCAGTGTTCTGTCTCATCATTCCTTATGAGAAGGATCTCCATGTGAGCACAGATTCTGAGCAAGAATCAGGGATGAGAAACTTAATTGTTCTGAATAGCAATTGTTCTCCTTTCTCAGGCAAAATTTTG